GTATAGTTTTATAACTATTAGTCACGCATGTACCGATTTTATATTATGTGATTATATTTTCGATTAATAGTTCTTGGTAGTTAAGTAGCGCCCACCGAGTTTTAAATTAAATTTGAGATTTGCGAAAAATTAACTCTGATTTTTATTAAATAAAATCGATAAGTCTTTTAAAATAAAGTGGGGCGTTACACTCCGGTTTGGATCTCCATCAGTTCTCCATGCAGCTCAAGATCGCTTCCGATCGGCCTCTTCTCACTCGACATTGGTTTCTTTCCTTTGATCTCGGCTCGTTGGTTAGTTTTCACTGCTATTTGGTAACAAGTTCTCGATAACTTTTGATCTCCTCGAGCCTCCCCAACTCGATCTCCAATATGGAATTTTAACTTCATATGGTAAGTTGGCACTACTCCTTGGAAAGCGTTAAGGGTCGGTCTCCCCAGAATAACATTGTAAGCCGACTCAACATCCACCACCATAAATCTCACCATCTTCACTTTCCTCAAGTTGCCTTCCCCAAGGACTACTGCAAGCATGGTTTCTCCAAAGGGTGCGACTTCCGACCCGTTGAACCCAAAGAGCGATGTATACAATGGGGTGAGTTCATTGTCGAGTTCCATCCTTTTGAGACAATCGTAAAAAATGATATTCACAGAACTCCCTGTGTCGACAAACACTCTCTTCACCTCATAGCCCGACACATGCGACGTTATCATCAAAGCATCGTTATGGGGTCTCTCGACTTCCCCCGCGTCTGCAGGTCCAAAATTCATCACTGGCCCGCTTTCATCGACTTGCTGCACCTCGACCTTTGCATATCGACCTTGAGCATATTCCTTCCTTGCTCGATTCGAGTCTCCGTCCGTCGACCCACCAAATATCATATGAATTACTCCCCTTTTCTGGGGGAGCTCCTCCTTCTCTGGTGATCTCACCCTCTTGCAAGGGCTTTTGCTCCTTTCCCTTCTCCTGCTCGATCTTTCCCGGTCCTTGTATATGAATTCCTTCAAGTGCCCAGCTTTGATCAACCTCTCGATCTCGTCCTTGAGGTGTCTACAATCGTCAGTGTTATGCCCATGGTCCTTGTGGAATCGACAGCACAAATTACTTTTAGGGTTCACAGGCCCATCCTTCCTCGTCCTAGGACATCGCACCACGTCCTCGCGGATCTCCCTCTCTATTACTTTCAAAATTCTTGCCTGGAGGGCCGACAGGGATGTGTACTGAATCGACCTCCATCCACTAGATCGTCCTTCACCTTTCTCTGCTCGCGGGGATCCCCTTCTCTTCCCCGTCGAGTGGGCTTTCTTCTTTTTTTTTCTCGTCTAGACTCTACGTCTTGACTGCATTTGTGTTTTGCAAATAGTCGGCTTCTGCCTCCTCCACATTCATATACTTTGTGCACCTCCCCAAAACTTCATCAAAGGTGCTACCATGTCGTTTCACCAAGAAATTCTTACATAAGCCTGGTAGTAGCCCTCTTGTCAACCGTCCTGATTTGATCTCCTCTGTTGCAATCGGCACGTCGAAACACGCCCGATTGTATCTCGCGACATAGTCTCGCATCGACTCTCCTTCTTTCTGTTGCATGCCGAACAATGTGAGATAAGATTTCTCCTGGGCTCTAACACTTGCGAATTGATTAAGAAAACTTGAGCTGAGCCCATCGAAATCTTGGATCGCCACAGGTGGAAATTGGTGGAACTAATCTTGAACCGACCCTCTCAGAGTCATCAGAAAGGCACGACATTGCACGGGATCACTAGAGCAGTGGAGCACAACCATATTTTCAAAAATTCTCAGATGTCGAGACGAGTCGGTCGATCTGTCATACCATATTCAATTCCCTGAAGCTTTGTGGTAAGTCAGCTCTCAAAATATGTTGGGAGAACGGGTGCTCCCTCTAGTTTCTACTCTTCTTTCCCCCTACTCGAGCTTGCAAGTCGTGGACCTGGGCCATCAACTGCTCCAAAGTTTTATCCCTTGATTGTGGGTTAACAGTTCTGATCGAGAACTCCTCCTCGTCCGCCCTCCTGTTGTGTTGCTCATTTGACTGGGCCTGCTGCTCCTGCTCCAATCATCGTTGTTGCTCGACACGAGGTTGCTGATCGACTCGAGGGTTCTGCTCGACCCGCGAGTTCTGCTCGACTCGCATTGCTTGTCTCATTTGGGCGGCCACAGCTTCGGCAGTCATCTTTTGCATTTCACTCCGTGTGACAAGTCATCGTTGGCTCCTCGAGTTGAGGTTGGGTTGGTGCTTGTTCCAGCGTTCCTTCCAATTGTTTCCCCTCGCGTCAAGGTGTCTCCCTTAACTCCTTCTCTCCAACTCCTGGATTTGATTTCAATGTTTGGTTGGTTCCTTCCTGAGTCAACACTTGGATCTTGACTCCAGGTAGGGTAATGGGCGTCTTCCCCCATATGGAATCCCGGCGGCGCGTGTCCTCCAAACGGTGGAAGTCCAAACATCTGTATCATTGGCTTAGGGCTGGGAACCACTGGAGGTTTCCTGTCAGTCCATGTTCCCCTGAAATCCTCATTCATGTTCCTCTGCAATCCTTCCTTCTCAGCCATCACAAACAGATCATAACTAGGTGCAAAGCTCTTAATTCCTTCAAGAAGTCCCCACAGACGGTGCCAAATGATGAGTCTACTCTCCGATCTGAGATAAACCGGTGATTATGAGCTTTGATCTGTTTGAACTGCCTCTAAATCGCTCCTAGACCGCAACAACACCTGCAAGAACTCAACGCCAGTAGTCTTTCCGGCGTAGAGCCTCCGACACTCAAGTCAGTATGTGAAAGAGATGAGAGAAAGAGCTACTCTAAGAGAACAGCCGCCAGAGGAAAAGGAAGTGTATGGAATCAATCGAGGTTAGGGTTTAGGGTTACCTCAGCCCCTTTATATAGAAGAAAACACCTACTTGAAGTACCCAAAATACCCCGGTCGGTTTACAGGAAGTGTCCAAAATGCCCTGGTCGGTTCGTCTTCCAGCTTCCTCCTAGTCAACTCAAGATTCCTTCTTATCCAATAAAGAATAGGAGACTCCCCAAGAAATACTACAAGTGTCCTGAGTTGTCAGTACATTTTGGGCCTCGAGGCGCAAGGAGTCGACCTCGAGCATTAGGAGGTCGACTTAGGGTTCACATGAGTGTATTCGGAGGCTACGCTTGTTTATCTTGGTGGAGGTCGACTTTGGGAGTCGACCACGAGAAGTCGACTTTGAGGACGTCGACTTTAGTAAAACCGGCTTCTTCCCTTGGCTAATTCATGAGGAGAAGCCGACTGTCGGGGCGTCGACTTGGGTATATCGACATCAGTGTTGTCCAGTCGACATGAAAATGGTTCGACTCATCCTCCCGATCGGGAAATTAGACCGATATATGATAATATGGCTATATCAACGGGTATTTTACTAGTCTGTTATTATGGCGAATAATTGCGTAGTATGTTACCCCACTGAGCTAGTTGTGTTGCTCACCCCTTAGTTTTCAGGTTGATCTAGTTGGTTCGAGACACAATTGACGAGTGTGGCCAGTTATTTTATCCTATTTCATGCTTCCATTGAGATTATTAAAACTTGTTGTTTTTCAAACTTTGGAATGAGTATGAGATTAATTGAGACTTTGTTATTGTTTTTATTGTTTGATTAAGTATGGGATGAGAAGTTGATAAGTTGAGTAAGCATTTGGGAAGAGAGTTCTCATTACAACTTAAGTGCAACACTTGAGTAAAGTTTTAAAAGAAAATCAGTTTCAGCAAGTTTAGAAAAAGAACTCAAGTGCCTTTCAAAAGTTTAAAAGTATAAATATTTTCGAAAAAGTTCGAAATTACTTGTGAAAATCTGTACTTTTCCAAAGATAAATAGAGTACAATGATAATGACATTTTATTTATTTATTTATTTTGTGGTAGCAAACAAATGTTAATGAAAAAAATCTTTATACCATAAAATTAGCATGAAGTAATATTTAATATTTAATATACTTTTAAACATATCAAAGAAATGATAATGTTTATAAAAAATCTTTATATATACCATAATATTAACATGAAGTAATGTCTAATATTTAATATACTTTGAAACATCTCAGCGTTAACTAATGTCTAATTACTAATATTAGGTGACTTCACATTTTTCACGAATAATATAAAATATTTACATAATCTTACATATGTTATATAATATTTTAGCTTTTTTCATATTTTAAATACACATGTTTTATTTTTTTATAAAAGATAATTTTATATTGTAAATCATATCACATGTTAACCTCATATCTTTAATTTTTGATTATTATTTAATATTATTTATGCACGTCTTTAATTTATAATTCTTATTTAATTATATAATACTATTTACCCTTGGCTATTCACAAGTTTACAAAATAACATAATAATTAATTATTTTCCAAAAACTGGAGAGGTGTAGATCAAGGCACTAGCTTATGGACAAAGTACCAATCTTTTAGTCAACGGACAAAAGCATCACGCATTGCAGCCACCTTATTTATCGACTATAGAATCTTTTGTCCAATAATTCCACAGTATCGACCTCTGAGTGACAAATAGTCGGCACGAGGGAGTGTGTTGTGTGTTTTTAACGTGATTTAGATATAGATTTCAGATTATATTTTCTTTCAGATTATTAACATACATAAAGTATGAAAGCGTGAGAAGTATTGATCGGTATTATATAATTTCAAAAGTTCCAAAATACATAAATATTTTAAATATATTATAATTATAAAAGTTATAACTCAATAGAAATATCCCAACTTACTTTGATATTAATTATAATTAGAATATTTTTCATTAATTCTGTCCAACTATATTTATTTCGTGCGTACTGTCTTTTCGTTATTAGGATTGAACAAGCCAGCAAGGTCTTTATTGATTTATTATTCTATAATTGAATTCGGTCTGTATGAAACCATGCAAATGTAGTGGCAACCATGCAAAGATCAGTGAGCCAGCGTTTTACTTTTCCCGAGTGGACAATACACATTGAATTTGTACACAAAGTCTATTGGCCCAAAAAGACACAAATTTCGTACCAAAACATTCCATAAATAAAAATTCTTCGTAGAAACAATAACTTGACCTTCACCNGATAATAAATAAAACCTTTCTTCACCACCCTAACTAAATCAAAGCTACAAAATGGAAGGTTTACTCTCAGATGAATCCTCATCCCAACCATCTCCACCGGGCCTAAGCCCGGAAAACGAAGCAGCCGTCATGTCAAGCCCGCCACTAATCGGGCTAAAAAAGGCAGAAAGCCCGGAAGATACCTCGGGCCCTTCTTTACCTCCTCCCATGCCTAGCCCAAGAAAATCCAGCGTTGGCGGCTTATTCCCAAACATAGCCGATGGGCCCAGCATCACGTCATTACCAAAACTACTTGACGGAGGCCCAAGCCCAAGCCCAGATGCCATTAAGTTCTTCTCCAGCTTCACACCACACGATGTGGAGATATGATGATGATCTCGCCAGAGGCCGTGGAGGAATGAAGGGCTGGATGAGATTGGGCCCATTTGGGCCGCCTTCTGAAGCAAGGCAGTGGCGGATAGGGCCGGGTCTAGGCATGGGACGTAATGATTGTTTTGGGCTGTGGAGGATGTGAATAAAGATGCTGACGTGGCGTACAATGAGTTGGATAGTGAGAGAGATATGGGGTCCACGGCGGGCCCACACGGGCCTAAGAAAGATGATGATGATGGGTTGAATATGGCGGCAACAGTGGTTTGATTTTCCGGCAGCTCGGCTGGTTCATGTGAAGTAACAACACATACAAGCAAAGGGAAAAGGGGATTAAGTACTTTTTTAATCAAATTAAAGGGAAAGATTTTTTAATTCATTTTCTCAAGAATCAAGACGATCCATTGATTTGAGGACTTGAAGGCAGATGCAATTAATTGGCAAAATTTAAAAATGGTCTACTATGTTGGTCATTTTTTGAAAAAGGTCTAAAAGCGTCGTTAAAAATGGTCCGCTAAGTTGCCAATTTAATCAATTTCATACAATAACCAACATAGTGTACTAAAAATGATAATTATTAATTTTTAGTTACTATATTTATGTTGGCTTTTGTACGAGTATTGATTAAAATTATAACTTAGTGGACCATTTTTTAAGATGCCAATATGATGGACCATTTTTAGAAAATCGCCAAAATACTGTACTAAAAATGAAATTTAGCCACAATTATTAAGTGCCACTTTACTTTAATCTTTCACCTATATACACATTACACACACACATACAAGAAAAGCCTGTTACGCTAAGGCAAACCAGCTTAATAATCGTTCAAACATATCCCACCAAAAGGCGCACAATACAAAATGAAAGCAATGGCGTTATTCCGATAAAAGCTTCAATTCAATCTTTCCCGTAAAATAAACAAAAAGCAAAAAAGAAAAGCTGCAAACACGAAATCTTCACATTTACCGGCCAACTGAGAACAAAAGTATCACGACTTTTACCTGAACTTTGCACGGACAGCACTGGGGACGACAACACGCCGGCCTGAGGTGTGAGCGGCGACAGAGCCGGACTCGAACCGGCACCGGCCGGCGGCGCCGCAGACTCCCCGCCCGAGCTCGCCACCGCCACCGCCGCCGCCGGAGGCCGGGTTCGGGCCGCGGCGCTCTCCTGCGCCAGCGCCTCGCAGAACGCCCTGTGCGTGATGAAACTATCCCTCCTGTTTGAAAAACGACGCCGTGTAAACAAAAATCCCTACTCACACCAAAATCGAAAATACGGAGAAATTTAGCTTTACCTGGAAAACAAAGTGCCGCAATCGCAGCGGTACTCCTTTGTCCCGCAGGTCTTCATGTGAGCCTTCCAATCGGACTGAACGGCGTACTTTTTGGAGCAGCGCTCGCACTTAAACCGCTTCTCGCCGTGCTTCCGGGAGAAGTGCTTCTTTATTCCGGTGAGGTCGCCGAGGGCCCTCGAGGGGTCGTGGTGGACGCACGACGGCTCCGGGCAGACGTAGACCCGCTTCCTCGGCTCTTTGCCCGTCCTCTGCCGGAGCTTCCACGGGAGATTGTGGCCGCGCCGGTGGAGCTGTAGGTTCTGGTCGCGCTGGAAACCCTTCCCGCAGATCTCGCACACGAATCTGTTGGTCGCCATTAACGTTTTTGGGGACAGCGCGATTACTTCAGAATCTGGATCTGCAAAAAAGTTGTGATAATAATCAAGATTCTTGACTTTATTTTAGCCTGGGAAAAAAAAGAGAAGAAAATTGGGTTCAGTAAATTACCTGGCATCCCGGGAAGACTGCGTTTTTTCTTAGCAAGCGGAGTTGAATTTTCCGGCGGCTGATCGGATTTTTCGACGGAAAGTGATGACGACCCTGGTGTAGGGGATGAGGTCATCTCTAATTTCACCATGGCTGTTTCTGTTTGTGAGCTCAAGAGATAAGCTGTAGCTGATGCTTTATTTAATTCAGCTGGAAATTAATGTGGACCGGAAAAAAAAAAAAAAAAAACAAAAAGAAAAAGGACCTGCAAGTTTTCACGCATCTTAAGCACGTACAGTAATAATTACCTGAGTTCGAGAAAACAGACGAGGTTGGATGATAAACCAAAATTGGCAGGAAAAAAGAAATGAGTATGTTTTTACCTAAAGGGATTAATTGAAGATTTTCGGAGGAAAAAATAGAATTTTTGCCATTTTGTAAGGAAAATTAAGCGAAAATGGGACAGGGGTTCAATACATGTTCATACATGATGACTATTTTTTTCATCTGTACACAATTCCATCTCTTGTTTGTGTACAGAGAGAGAGAGAGAAGGGTCGAAATGAGAGAGAGAGAGAGAGATTTGAACTGATGAGTGTACAATAATTCTATGAGATTAAATTGTTTTCTTGTGAAGCGGCGGTAGGTACCACGGTTAAGAATTTAACCGTGGTTAAGAAAATTGGAGCCTTCCGTTATAGCTTCATCGTTCATATCATCATATGGCCTCAAGTCATCAACAATAGAAATCCTAGCCGTCCACGTGGAAAGATCTCCCTGCCTGTACACTGTCGGAGGAACTCGCTGCGCTGTGCTATCAATTGGTTTGTCGTTTTGCGTTCCTTTTAAAATCTGAATTTTCAACATAACCCTCTCACTAAATCTAAAAAAGATTTAAAAAGATAATCAATTTGCAAGATATTTTAGTTTAACAATATATTCTACAGTTCTTGCATTTCAATAGTGATAAATGCCCAAGCTTGATAAAAAAAAAAGAAAAAATACTTGATAATGTAATAAAAATAATAGAAATTTAATAATAATAATAATAATAATAAATTTTGTTTTGTTAATGATATCCGATGATAGGTAACAAGAAATCATTAATATATCATAATTCATTAAATGGCATTATTGGTTGGTGATGTGAAAAAACAAGAGAGAATATTAGGAGGTGCATGGCTTTTGTGAAATAACGTGTGAAAAGGGTGTCGACTTTTTACCAGAATCGGCAAGCAGCTGCGTCAGGGGTCAACGGTCAAAACAAAATTAAATTCATTTGTGGGCAAGAAAAAGAGGGATAAAACCCAAATGTGGCAAATAAAAACACAAGTTGGTACCAAACACTGACGCTTTTTTACGGGTCATTTTTCTGTTTTGTTGTGTTGTGTGTTCGCTCCACTTTTTAGACTTTTTTAACGTTACACTAATCGCACACATGTAGGAGAGTGTACAGTCCTCGTTTGATGAACATGACACGTCGCGTGGTATGTCTAAAAATATATAAATTTGCTTTGCCTAGAGTTATGGTCAATAAAAAATTGTTGTTGTATATTATATTTTATCTATATATGCATAGTTATGTATGGTTTAATTTATCCTATATAGTTTTATTGGAAATAAAAATAACTTTGTAATCATGTCTTATGAATATATATAAATAATTAAATATCGCATACCGTCATATTTTTTAAACTTTTACACTCCGTACCATCTCAAACTTAAAAAGATAAAAAATAAAATTTATGAAATTTCATGTATCTATAATATCTAAAATTTATGACAAAATAAGTACTTTTGGTTGAATTTACTTTTAATTAATTTTTTGTGCATTGCATAAATTTTTTTGTTGAAAATAACGTAACAAGTGCCTACTTTTTAGATAAAAGAAAAAAGTTAACAAAGTCTAAAATATATAACTGCACCAAATAAAGTAAAAAGTCAACATCTAAAAATTCAAAAAATCGAACTGAATAATTGATTTTAGAAATCACTAAACTAACTTACAATTAAATTTAAAATAAATAGTTATAACTATTTTCAAACATTGACCCAAAAAAGTAAACATATAGATTTTCTTGGGATATGTTATAGTAAATAATGTTATTATCTTACACTAAGTTAGCATATAAAATAAGTTTTAATTTTATTTTTTATATATTGTATTTTTTTACATTTTTATCCTTATTTTTTAGTGTTTTCTTCATATCTTTCTTAAAAAACCAAGTGGGGCCTGTGGGTCCTCGTAAACCTAATGTAGATTTGTCCTTACTATAACAGGGAAATACTACAATCCCGTTACGAAACTATTCGGTCGGGATTTGTAACCGTTAGATCATCATGTAACCGTCGTAGTTGATCTAACAGTTACCAATCCCGACGGAATGGTTCTGTAACGGAACTGTAGAATCTCCCACTATAACAAGTCGTAGTGTAAATCAAAATAAAATTTCCTCCACGTCATCTTCTTCAACTTTATCTTCTCCAAATTTAGTGATAATAACTAAACTAGATCTCCCATGTACCCTTAGAGTATCTTTGGTCTTAGTAGATGAGGGTGTGGTCGATTGGGACGAACCAAAAACCCTAGTAGATAAATATTCAACCGTTGTCGTCACATAACTCTAGCTGAAGGTCTTATCAAATCGATTTTATATAAAAGGTAAACGAGATGAGGAAGTACCTGAAGCCGATGAAGATTACTAAAGCCTATCCCTTTCCTTGCGCCTCAAAATAGTCGCGTTTAGGAATTTGTTCGAGGTATCCTACAATTGGATCATACAATACCCTATTAGAGGATGTTTTTGACCGGTTCTCCCCTCGGATTCTATACTAATTTATTCACGGATCATAGCGTAGCAGTCTAAGATGTTCTCTTAAGAGAGGATCTAGTTCACTTGAGCCATTTATATCGCATACCCATAACCCATTTCACTTCAAAGTCTATTCGTATAATGATAGTTTTCATTATCTTAAGCCTTTGTCACCTCAAAACCCTAAGACCCCAACTTCTACTTTTATTGCAATAGTTTACAAATGTTAAAAACGATCTCACTACTTTACATATATCTTAGAATCACGCTAATTTTGTGCACGACCTTCCATCCAACATCAGCTTGTGGAAATTAATTTTTTTCTTTTATAAACCCTAAATCGGGCTCTATCGATTTTCTCCCAACACGGCTCAAGGATGTTCCCATTCAACGTAAAATGTCAAAACCCTCTAAATACTGGGACAACCTCGTCATCAGATGGCAACTTCCCTTGAAAGTCACAACCTTGTTGCCGATGTGAGGCTTTGGTACCACAACGGTCTTGCAACCGTAAAGTCCCCTCCCATCAACGAATAAGTACCAATATTGTTATTCCTTATGTTAATTGCCAAGCAACTTTTACTAGCCAAAAATAAAACAAGTATTTAGTGATGCCCACTATACCCCTAGCTCCCAATGTAAGAAATTTAACGGGTGTATTCATACCTATTAGGCGGAATTGAATAGACCCTAAGCATGTAACTCTATCAGTTCATAGAATATGGATCTTTGCATTAATTAAATTGCACATAGAACTTACAATAATCCAGCTTATAGCCCTTCCATGCTTTCTTGATCTATGATGTTGATCTACGATTCTCTTTCTCGTAATCTCCAATGATGAATTTGTCTTTGCCTATGAATTGATTCTCTCTCCCGCGTCTCTCGTCCTTTCATAAAGTCCTTGATGTTGAGAATCTATTTTTGTATGAGCCGAGAGAGAGGTGTGTAACGCCCCACTTTATTTTAAAAGATTTACCGTTTTTATTTAATAAAAATCACTATAAATTTTTCGCAAATCTCAATTAAATTAAAAACTTAGTGGGCGCTACTTATTTAACCAAAAACTTTTATCCGAAAATGCCAAAATATCAGATACAGACAACATGCACGAATAATAAGTCATAACCAAACTAGCATTCATTAAGTTCCCACTTATCAAAAGATAATACATGGTTCTCGAGTTCAAACGACATAATCAAAATATCCAATTTCAATATAAGTTCATTAAATGAGCGGAAGCATATAAATAAGTGATAAATAAAAGCAAGACCACCACCCGTCTTGTCTCGTCACCCGCCAACTGCTTAACCTGCATCCGTGAAGAGCAGGTGGGAGTGAGTACAGTTAACTATCGTACTCACACTATGCATATGAATAACTCAGAATATGTTAATATGGCATGGTCGCAGCATGAACATAAACAATAATAATTAATGTCTCATCTCTAGTCATGTCTATGACCCTTGCCATGGCTATGGCTCACTCATGTGCACATCTACGCTCAGCCGTACCATATCTATAATACGGGAGTGCGTGCCACGTAAGGACACGGCCTTATCTAAGGACTTAAGGAGATTTACCTCGTAAGGGTAACCGTATCTACGGGGACAACCGTACCGATGGCTATCGATAGGCTACATGTTCATATGCATACATAGATCACACCGACTTAACACATTCAATAAAACTAAGCACATATGCACAGTAAATTTCTGAATAGTAACCCACCTGGAAATTTCGGATTGATGACAGCAAATCAGAAAAGATGTGGTTCGAGGCTTGACTCCTCAAATACCTACATTATGTCAAGATCCTACAATCAGTATCTTGACTTAATCGTAAAACACAAAGCAAACCTAGTCGAACTTGTTTCGACTAAGTACTTCGTGAAGTCCTGTGGACGTTGGAACACTTAGACTCGGCACTATACTCGACCAGACCATATATGGGAGATCACATAAATCCATCTAAGGATAGACCAAGTTCAACTCACAACAGAATGGAAAGCAAGTCAATCACATATTTAACTTCAAAATCATAGTTTAAAAATTTACTAGCTATTAATCACATGAAATTCATTGACCAGGCTGCCCTTCGGCTTAGGCTCTGAAATTTTACACAAAATTACATCTTCCAGTAATAAGTAAAACCATAATTTTCAGCTTTAAACTCAAAGCACATTAATTTATAAAATTCCTACGAGAAATCAGCAAAAACGCACATATATTCATATCTGAACCAAATGAACGATTCAGGACTTAAAAATTTAACACAACAAGATACAGCATGATAGAGACAACATGTAAAAATCTCAGCCCTGAATATTAACTGTGATAATTTTAAAAATTCATGCAAGATTCTGCAGTTATCGAATTTAAAACAGAACAGGACTAAAATAAACTCCAAAAATTTTCATCTTTTAACAGCATGAATATACACTCAAAATAGGCATCTCAGTAAAATTTCAAAATTTTTCACCAAACAACCGATTTATAAAAATTCAAACTATTTTCAGCAGATTAGATAAATAAATTATTAACCACATCAAATCAAGTCCAAATATTGTAAAACTTTAACACAACATATAAAATTCACAGAGGTACAACATACCAAAATTTCAACTAATTTGAATCAAGAACCAATTTATTAAGCATTAAACAATATTCTGATCAGAATTCACTCTATTTATCAAAAATAACTACAGGCCTCTAAAAATTATGAAATTTTTACTCGAGGCTGCCAATGAACAGGAAGCATACTCCTCAAAATTTCAAGTCATTCCCAGCAGCGTGCTATTTTTAAAAATTCAAACACCAAAACAGCGATATATATGCTTGACAACTTAGCAATTAATTCATAACATGAAATTTCTCGTCCGAGGCCTTCTCGTAAGACCAAGGACTCGACTTTGTTCCAATGTCCACTGACTTACACGACTTTCGAGGTCTCGTTCAATTTCTCATAATTGAAGAGATCTCGAACGACATAAACGACACATAAAATCATATCTTTCATATAAATTCACGATTTTCACATATTCTCTAATCGAACACATATATCAAAAACATAATCGCATAACTTATACGAATTCACATATCATCATATAACACAACGATAATTACGTAAAATAAACGGGAAGACGGGACTCGATACCGTTCTCGAGGATCGGACGAGAAGGGTTCGAACGGGCTCGACGGAAAACTCGTCTCGCGAAAGAGGAGAGCTCGTCGCATGGGAGGAGAAAGTGCGTCGCTGCTGCTGGGTCACGAGCTCACCGAGAAGGTCACTGGAGTTGCTGCTCGAAGGATGATCGAACTCGCCGGAAAGAGAACTGGCCTCGGTCGAGGGTCGCTGCAGAGGAGGAGGGCCGCTCGCCGGTGGCCTGAACAGGTGCAACAGCCTGCTGCGCGGAGAAGGGTTCACCGGAAGTCGCAGACTCGGAGAGGAGAGAGCTCGTCGCGAGATGGTGGCCAGGGTCGGGGATGGCTCAGAGAAGAGATTGAGAGCGGCTGCGGCGTGGGGATGTGCTGGTTCGCCGGAATTATCACGAACAGAGGGAAGCTTCGTCGTCTGGCTCGAACTCGCCGGAAAATTCGAACAGGGGGTCGCCGGTGGTGATGCTTTACGTCGACGATGGAGGCGTCTCACGTACAGGATAGAGGCGAAAGGGAAGGTGATGATGCCGTCGAACAGATTATCACGAGAGGGTGATGATGGAGTGATGATGAGATCACGATCGAATTTCTGAGATTGCGAAAAGGAAAAGACTGCGATGGGATTTCTGGGATGAGAGTCGAGATGGACAAATATATACATACATACTCTTAGGTTTAGGAAATAGGTCTAGATGTCCAAAAAATAAGTCTCCACTCTGCACGCGTGAAAATAGAAGGAGAAAAATCTATCGGGCCGGGCCCAACTCGGGTCGCGGGCTAATGTGGGCCGAAGGTTCAATTAAAGGCATACGGTTTTCTCGGGCTCGATTTAGCCAAAATAAAATAGCTCGGTTCGCTCGACAATTTTAAAAATAAAATTCAGCTATTACTTAACATATATATATCTTAATAATAATAATAGTAACAATAATACTAAATAAATCCAACAAAATCCATAAAATAAACGGGGCGCTACAAGGTGCATGTAGTAGTATATATAGGAAGAGACCTACAATCCCAATATTCCCCATGTTCTAACCTAACTTATTGTCCAAGTCAAACTTCACAAATTGGACTTTTAATATTAGAACATTAATAATACATTAAATATATATTCACCTTAATTAAGTTTGACTATTAATTCAATTAGGTCCAACTAATTATATGGTCCACACCAATAAAATAATATAAAATATTATTAAATTCTATGTCGAAACCCAAATAACTACTTTAAGTGCGCACCTTTCATCAAACTTATGATTGAATACATATATATATAAGTTTAAAATTAAAATAGAAATTAACCAAGTCATAGCAGTCACAAGTCTTCGAGCGACATGGTCCCTTCCATGTAACACAAATCATTTCTAATTCGACTTTACTTTAATATGGAACAAACCGTTCGTACCATAACCATAAGTCATCCAACTTTCATGTATATACTATAAAATCAAAGATCCATAATGATGATATTATATGTGAAGAACGAAACATCTTTAATCGAATTCAATAAGTGACAAAACCATTAATTGATCAATTTCATTCATTCAGTACCAGTCAGTACAACAAGGCCCCATTCATTATTCCCTCTTTTCTTTATATGTCTTGCAAAGGCAATAGAGAATAACCATTTAGTGTATCCGCTTTCATGCAATTAGTACTAAAAATACTCAAATGACACACTATTTCTTCACTTCTACTTTTACAACCAAGTATTTAAATTTTATGTGATTCACATCCTTTGAATACTTGTCATTCCTTGAAATATTATTGCTACAATACTACAATTTGTTTCTATAGGAAATAAATTAATCAATATATGGTATAACGTGAGCAAATTTATTTAGGTTATTTGATAACTGTTTTTTTTTTAAAAAAATTATAGAAAAATTAATCAATATATGGTGTAATTTTTTCTGTAATGCGTATGCTAATATATTAGTTTTTAGGCGTGGGTTTCAATTTTTATTTCAATTCTTCGTATAAAATTAACATACTAAAATTACCATAACTCTGACAAAATAATATGAACTGATATTTTGATATAACGTGCGTGTATCGATATTTTTTTTTGTAGAAAAAGCTCTGGTCATTTTTTTTTTGTATAATTAGTGGGCCTCGATTTAATTCATTTTTTGTTACGACATTTTAAATAATTTTTGTATGAAATGCACTGTTCATTTTTTTAGCAGATAAAGAGTGTCGATTTTTTTGGCCTAAAAATCTTATGACTGATTGCTTTTACTCAACTACTTAATTTTTTTATTTGGATATTTTATACAAAAATAAATTCATTTTAACTAATTAAACAATATAATTTTTTTGTTTATACTTATTATTCATATATGTTTTTAAATATAA